TAATGATCATTTAATAAAATATATTGATTCATTGAGTAATAGTTACAATTTGATAAAACTAAATTGGCTGAAAATTTTATCAGAATTAGACTCACCCCCCCCCCCCCCCCCCCCCGAAACTGGATCAACAACATCAAAAACCCGACGCCCACGATCTTAAATTATTAACCGGGGTATCAAAGGAATAAAAATTTTTTTAAATTAAATTAGAGGAATGTTTTCCGTTTTAGAAAAAAAATTTTTATTAAATATTTTTTTATATACTGTTTATACAATTAAACAATATTATATATCCTCAATCCAAAAATAGCAATGGAAAATAATCATAGACGTGCTATTGGCCAATGGTTGAAGGATAAAATTTTTCCTCTCAAAGAGGACAAAGTGTCGGATGCATATTACTATTATCTGTCTTTACCCATTAATCGCAACAACAGTCGAGAGCTTTATAAAGATGTAGACCGCCATCAATTTTTGTTATATTTAGCTCGATATTATCTTAATACGATACAACATAATTTCACCTATGACATCCCGAGGAGTCTGCTTAGCGCTGTCATTGGCAATTTGTATAGAAGCGCCTCAGACAGTGAAAAATACAAAGCAGACATGTATTGCAAGAGATTCAATGAATTTATTGCTGACGCGAATAAGGCCAACCAAAATTATTACTATCAACGTGACCTGGCCGCAGCTGATAATGAAGACTATGAAGACAATACTATTCACCAAAACTTAGATGTTGATGATGGTAGAGTGGTCGATCAAGATTTCCTGCGTGGCGGGAGTAGCTTTTAATTGTAATCAAGTTTTTTGTTATATAAACTTGATATAGATAATATTTTATTTATTATTGTTGTTGTTGTTATTATTATTGTTATTATTATTGTTATTATTTATTATGATTTAAGATTAAAAATATGCCCAAGTATTAAGATTTAAAAAAAAAAAATAAAAAAAAATAATTATAAGAGTAATTACTATTATGCAATGATTTTTTCATGCAAGGTAATGTTGGTCAAATTAATTATTATTTAGCTCAAGGTATGTATACAGAAATATGTCAAGAATCAATTCCAAAATTAGAATCTATTAGAATCTACTATGTATGATATTTTTAAAAACTTATTAATGTGTGAGCCAATTTTTGTCATGTATTGATATAAGTATTTCAAAATGATTTTTTTTTTGAATATTGTTTGATAAAATTGTTATTGCAATTTTTTTCGCCAAGTTTAGAGGGTCATAACTTAAAATTTCGGTGAAATTCCTAATCGACCTGTAAATTTGTTTATAAAAATTATATTGGAGTCGAGAGATTTAAAATAATTACATGTAAAATTTTGAAGCATATTATTATGTAGGTTTTATATCAATGATTAAAAACTTTACATTAAAATTTTTCTTTTCAAAAAAATCGAATATCTCTTATTTTAACTGAAAATACAATTTTATATCCATAATGCTCAGAATTTAAGTTACGATTTGATTTTTTTTTTTTTGTATAACTATTCTATTATGTGTGTTTTTGTGTTTGCATGTTAAAATTTCAAAAGATATGGTTTGTTTGACCTTACAAAAAAATTGGCAATAATATAAGTTTTTTGTATTCAATAAAGCAAATTGATTGGCTTTTAATTATCTTGGAGTAATTCGAACTTGGGATTATTGTATGCGCAATTTTATTAAATATACAGGGTAGTTAATAATAATTTTTAATAAATAAAATAAATGAAGAATTTCAAAAATGTATATAATAGACTCGAGTTCGTCTGACAATAATAAACAAATAACGTGATCTCGATTTTTTTAAACAATAAAGACATTAATTTTGTATTCAGTAATAAATTGGCATTGTAAAAGTAAGGCTGTTAAACAAGCTGCTTAAGTTGCTTTGTAATAAACCAGAGCGAGTTTATAACCCGGCCAACAAGTGTAGACGACTGAAATAAATCGATTATAAGTAAGTTAGTGAACTTGTTAATTGATAAGCAACGTATTACTTGCTCATAATCGATGTTGACCAAAAGGCTACCTTGCAATATCAACATCATTGAAAAGGTGCTATAGATAATGATTGCTATTTTTATTAAGTAACGAGTGAGAAAGCATGACAAATTCGTTTCACGGACAATTCTTTGAAGGATATGTTCACAATCTATTACGAAATGGATGAGAGTTTAATGTTAGAAGTCTTGATGATAATAATAATAATATTTACATAATAATCGTACAAAAGATTATACCATTTTGTAGTGAAAGTTCTGGAGATTATGTATATAGAATTTTATACTTTTAGATTTTCTAGAAATTTGTCAATTGAAAAAAGAAATTTGATTATTTTGAAAGAAAAAAATTCAATGTGTAATTAATAATTGCTTCACAAAATTTATACAGTGCGGATCATCTATACTCAAAAGTTAAAATTTTTGAAATATTATGTGATCCACACATCGGATTTTAAAAAACTTACCACCATTCAATTCAGCTTTAAAAGGGGAGTCTATTAATCTAAAAAAAAAATTTGTCTCA